TGATCACGCGTTTTCCGTCGTCCGTCCGTCTGTCCTCCCGTCTATTCGTCTATAAACCTTTCACATTTTCAACTTCTTCTCAAGAACCACTGGGCCAATTTTAACCAAACTTACTACAAACTTTTAGGCATTCTTGGATGTAGGGAAGTATAAATTATTAAGATAAAGTCCCTATACAAGGGGAGATAATCAAGAAAAGACAAAAATAGGGTGGGGTCATTTTTAAAAAAAATTCTTCTCAAAAACCACTAGGCCGGAAATGCTGAAATTTATTGGGAAGCATTCTTGGGCAGGTAGTGTAAATTCTACATTGTTCAATTCATGACCCCTGTGGTAGAGCGGGACCAAAACAGGGAATCAAAGTTTTACATTGAAATATAAAGAAAAAAATCTTTAAAAATCTTCTCAAGAACCATTGGGCCTGAAATGATTAACCTTATGTGGAAGCATTCTGGCGTCGTGTAGATTCTATATTGTTCAAAACATGACCCCCGGGGCTAGGGTGGGGTCCCAATAAGGAATAAAGTTTTAAAATGAAATATAGAAAAAATATAAAAATCTTCTTCTCAAGAACCAATGGGCTAGTAAAGCTGAAAATCATATTTGAAAGTATGCTTGGATAGTGTAGATTTTAAATTGTTAAAAATCATGATAAGGCAGGGTCACAATATGGAGTCCAAGTTTTACATTGAAGTATGGAGAAAAAAATTTAAAATTTTCTATTCAAGAACCACAGGCTCAAAAAAGCTGAAACTTAAGTGGAAGCATGCTGATGTAGATTAGACTCTAAATTGCTCAAATTATAACCCCCAGGGCTAGGGCAGGGTACAATAGGAAATCAGTTTTACATTGAAATATATATGAGAAATCTTTCTCATTAAGAACCACTTGGCCAGAAATACTGAAGCTTATGTTGAAGCCCCGTGGATTAGTGAAGATTCTAAATTGGTCAAATCATGACCCGCAGGGGGGAAGGGCTGGGCCACAATAGGTATTATAAGGGGGGTGGGGGAAATCTGGTGAAGAACAACAGACCAGTTCACTCAGGTGAGCGTTGTGGGCCCATGGGCCTCTTGTTTCCTTTGGTTCATTGTATCCTTTGTCCTGTAAAGAATACCAATGCAGGTTCTGTTTCATTTAATCGACTTTTAGCAAAAAAAATGCTCTAAAAAGATCTTGAACATTTTTTTTTCAAAAGAAGTATAGATTAATATTTTCCTTTATTTGAAAAGTGTTTTTTAATCCAGAAGGCAACTTAATAAATGTATATAAGTAAGTATTTGATATAGGTCAAAACTATTTTAACTAAAGCCATATAACTTAAAGTTTAAACAAATATTCTGAAACGCAAAAGAAACGCAACAAGCAGTAATCTACAAATATTTGAATTTTTTGTATGATAATTTTCAAAAATGAATACAGTAAGGTAAATCTCGATTTAAAAACATCAGAGATTTGATAAATATGTTATCTTTTAACTTTAGAAAGTAACATACGCAGTACAGTTAAGTTGCCAAATGGAAATATCGGCGAATTTTTTGATAGAAAATACATTCTTTACAAGGATGGGCGTTTCTTTTTAGGACTTTACTATTATCGGACAAATGCAATGTGGTTGAAAACTACATGTTGAGGACGATTAGATTTCTTATTTAGACTTGTCACGTGACGTGGCAGTCACGTGATTTTAGCAAATATACCTGAAGTATTGAGGTCATTTATAATTTCTAATATTGCAAGGGCATAACCAAGTTAAAAATCTAAGTTTAACATATAATTATTTTCAACACTCTGTAGTTTGTGAAAAGTGCTGCGAACCTATATAGATTCTACTATCTAATTGCTAAAATTACATTTGTTGGACCGTATGTTGAATATTTTGCTAGTCAAGTACATTAAATATAGATATAATTAATTCATTTGCAAGATTTCAACAGGTTCGCAGCACTTTTCAAATATCTTCATACTTCTTGAGTTTATGTGTAAAAGCTTGTCATAATTCATTGAGGGTATGCCCTTGCAATATATCGATTTTTTACAACCCTTCTATCACCCTTGAATGGATCTGCATACAAATATACGACAGTATCGCTTGTCTAGGGAATGTACGGGAAGTATATGAATAAAATAATAATAAAAACATCGCATCCAAGTTAATGGCCTTTTATATATCTACAATATATATTTTATTTAATTACAAAATACAGTTTTCATTGTATAAATATAACTTGATCCGCCTCTCACTGCATACAAACTGCGTCAAATTTTACGATATGACGTCACATTGACAAGTGCATTGCGATCAGTAAATTGTTTATATATTGCTGTGTGGGATTTAACCAACGACAATGATGCATGCACTATTTAGTATTGATGTAGTTTAAAGCTATTTAACAGTTTAAAATAGCAAATCATTTCATTTTGTGGTAATTTGAAGAACTTATATTTTTGTGTGATGTCATAGTAAGCATTTCCCGTATAAATTAGGCCCCGCCTCCTTACTGCAGCCTTAACTGTGCTGCGTATGCCTGTTAAAACACCCCTACCCCGGTCATTCAATTACCGTCAATCTCGAGATCTGAGCGAAAGAAATATTTTCTGCAATTTTTAAATACCTGATTTTCAGATGATGAGGTCGAATTATCTGTAGCCTAGCAGTGTAGTAACCCTAGGACTTCCGGTCCAAGGACTGTCATTCATGCTTATGATACGTGATCCTGTTTAGGCGTGATGTAGTGCATATTTCCATCTGCAACTCCTTTTCACAATTATTTTGAGATTTTCCAGCTAGAGCAACGGAAATGCGTACTTAAGTCATTTTCAGGAAGTCTTGACAATTCTTCCGGAAAAGAAAGGAGAATTTATTTTTCGGAATATTCCTGCATTTCTCATGATGAACAGATGCAAACCCTTAAAAGCTCATGTTATTGTCAATTGTTTTGTTAAACATGCAATTTTTGATTTTTTGTTATGCGAACTCAAGCTTAACTTCCAGTAATGGCATGAAAATCATGCAAGCCTTAAATACCGATATTCACTAAGTTGAAATATCTTCAACTTAGTTGAATCCTTACTTTTTAGATAAAAAATTATATTCGATATATAAAATTCCCCCCTATAATAGGATGTTGCGTTTCTTTTGCGTTTCAGTATAAAATGCTGAGTTGTTTAAGAGGCAGTGCTTCTCTAAAGATGAATGATATGTGGTAGAAAGTTACAAGTATTTCCTTGCTACATTGAAAATACCTGACCTCTATGCGGTTAAATTACAAAAAAAAAAAATGTTGATACACTTCTATGTATTTCTTTGATTTCTTCATAGTACAAACCGGTAGCTCAATCGGTAGAGCGCTTACTTCGTGATCGGAAGGTCGTGAGTTCGAATCTCGGCCGCGACTGATCTTAGTCGATAAAAGATAGGTAGCAACTGTTTCTTCGACAAGCGCGCGGTTCTTCGAAGTGAAAGTTACGGGTCATTCGGATGAGACCTTAAAAACTGATGCCCCGTGTCACGGAAAGCGTTGGTACGACAGAGAAACATCAATGTTCAATGGCAGGAGTGCCTAGTAAAGGTCTAAATTTGAAGTCATTCTCCAGTATATGGTGACGTCTCTATATAATTGAAAGATTCTCGAAAACAACATAAATTAAACAATCAATAATACCAGGGTTGTCCCAGAAAAACGTGAACATTTTAAATAATTTTCGTTCCATTTATATCATAAAGTTAAAAATTGGCATGCACCATAACCAACATTTTTTTTTTACATAATGCACAGTAATTTCAATAAAATATCTCTATAAATAACATTTTTTTCTCTGATAAACAAATCATTCAAAGTAGCTCCCGGCGCAACACCGACGACGTCAAATGTAGCTCGTGCAGTTTTTGAATTTGTTCAGGAATTTTGCGTCTTTAAAAATTTGTGCGTCTTTAAAAAAAAATTTTAAAAATTTACTTCATTTTATTTTCTTTTAGTTACCGAGTTATCCATTTCACACGTACAACAGTTAAGAATAAATCAAGGCATTAATTCTTCTAATATACATTATTTAAACCCTAGTCATAAACTTACTGTAACTGTCTCAACGTATGACGTCCAACTCTAGACGTTCAGTTGGTCGTCATTTCTGTGGGTCTACTAAACGCTTGTTCCATCGGCTAACCAGTCCATCCATCTTTGAACCTCTTCTACTATGAATAAACCAGTGTTCGATGGATGTATTTGTGTCGTTCCAGCTCTCTTCCTGTATTAACAGGAGTCATACCCTGCTCCACACAGTACTGACTGATAATTTGGTGCGCCACATTATCGCAGGACGTCGCCGTTTTTGACAATATCTAACTAATAGTGTTTGGTCATATAACGTCATATTTTTTTTTCATTTGTGAAGTCAAAGTATTAATATTTTACACACGAGTACTCTAGATCACACTGTTTCTATGGATGTAATATTTGTCCATATATTATATATTATATTATATTTCCATATATAATGGAATATTATATTTCCATATAGCCATGCAATAAAGAAAACATGGATGGCAATGCTTATATTGAAAGTCATGAAATTGCCTTGCGCCGACCACCGATATTTAACACCCTTTAAATTCTGTTTCTAAATGACATTCCAACCTTATATTATTTGGTCCAAATGACATAAATATTATTTCCAAACATTGTGCCAAAAATGAATACTTTTGGTCAGGTACTTTGTGAACTATTTAAAAAGTTTGTGTTTTTCTGGGACAACCCTCGTAATACAAGGTTTACAGATGTCTTAGGTATCTGACTCCTGGTATACCTTTGTAGATTTAGCCCTACAAAGTTTTAGGAAATATTTTATATTAATTGATTCAAACAGTAATTTCTATTATCCTTTTTGTTTGCATGTGTAGATTATTTTTTATGATACTTTATTAAGTAATGTTAATTTGAATTCAGGTAAATGTACATACGTGCAAAATAAAATTAATTCTGTAGGGTTGATCAAGAAAAAATGCAGTGCTAAAGGCGAAGTTCTTACCATGAAAGAAATCACAAAGAAGTTGACTTTCTTTGACTTCGGGGGCCAATGTGCGTACTACGCCTGTCACCAGATTTACCTGTCCAGGAGAGCTTTCTATATTGTGGTGGTAGACGCTTCAAAACGTCTTGATCAACAGGTCGATAAAGCTGTATGTGATCAAGAGGGCAGTATTTTCAGTGGATGGACATATGGAGGTATCTTATTTTGAATTTGTATAAGGTCTTCAAACATTTAAGTAGAGACATATGAAATATATGGAGATAACGAACAGTATTCAAGCTCAAAAGTCCATTATACAATACAAAATAGGAGCAGAGCAAACACGGACCTCTCAAACATTAGAGGTGGGATCAGGTGCCATGGAGGAGTAGGCATTCCCTGTCGACCGGTCACACCAGCCGTGTGCTCCTTGTCATGATCGGGAAATAACGGAAAAATCAGTCGACAATTCGGTAAATAATGGCCTAACAATTAGTATGAAAAACGTCAGTCAGCATTTGACTCAATGATAAATTGTATTTGCTGACAAGGTCATTGTATCGACCATAGAACTTACGAAATGATGACTTTAAACGAGACAGCTGATATTCTTGTTTCATCAACTTATTTGTCAATAATTTACCTCGTTTTAGAAATTGTACATACGTAGAGCATGCTCTTGCGTATCGAATCAACTGAGAGATATATACCCCGTATGCAGGTGATGAAGGTATATTGCTGCATAAGTAAGGGAAGTTGACGATTGAAAAGTTAAAGTCATCACGTTTATCATAAAGCTTGGTTGTTAGATTACCATTAACGTCTTTTTCAAGTAAAATATCCAAATATGAAACAGATGTGTCAGACTCTGTGGTATCTTTTAACTCAAGTTCACCAGGATATATCGTATCGACATAAGAATGAAAATAATCATTGTTAATTGACAATACGTCGTCGATATATCTAAATGTCGAGTTGAACGTCACAGCAAGTGTTTTCTTCTTTTCACGTACAAGATTTTGGACAAATTCTGCTTCATATGAATACAAAAAAAGTAGGGATGTCAACGAATAGTCGACTATTCGACTGTCAGTCGAATGGACCGACGATCGAATAATGAAACGACATTCGAATATTATAATTTTAAAAATGCAGTTTAAGAGTGATAACGATATGGAATTCTCATTACAAAATTGAGAAACCGTATTTCCTCGGATACAATTGATAAGATAATTTTCCTCTACAAAAAACTTGATTTTCCGTGTGTGTATAGAAAGTACAGTAATTATAAATGCTTCATTACCGCGAGAATTATCTATCAGTTACTGCTTGTGTTGTTTTTGTAATAAATCAGCCATCAATATGTTTACTGGGCTTTGTAAAATGATTAATTGGACTTGATTTTATACGTTGTACCAATTATCTTTTATTTTAAGATTGCTCAAATGCAAGTAACAAACCATAGCTGTGATTTGCTTTGACGCTAATTATTAAAACAATTCGCTTGCATTTTTAAACTGCTAATAATTAAGGACATTCTGATAGCCAGAGCAATCAATTAATGAATAAGCAGTTACTAACTGTTTAATAATTTAACAACCACCTGGCGTTTGGATAGTGTGAAATTACCCCCCCCCCCCAATTTATTTCATAATAAGCTTTAAAAAATATCGGCTAGCAATTTTTGAATGCTCACTCTGCATGTACAGACCAATTTATGAATTCGATTGATGGGGAAATCATAAATTTTGGAGAATTAGATTTCTAAATTGTTTTTTCAAATAATCATGCTATCAAACGTTACGTTGCATTAATTCTTATGTTACTTTTTAAACATATTTAAGTAAAAGGGTTTTTGAGTTATAAATACGTCATGTACCAGTGAAGTTTGAAATAAAATTTTATTTTCAGAAAATGTTCCGAATAATCGACTATCGTTCGAATAATGGAATCGAATAATCGACTAAGGAAAATAAATATTTTGACATCCCTAAAAAAAAAGGTCTGCTAATAACGGGGCGCAATTGGTACCCATAGCAATTCCAATAGATAGTTGGAAAACCTGGTCTCCAAAAACCACATAGATATTGTCAGTCAGAAACTCAAGCATCTTTTTAATGTCAACTTCAGAGTACTTGTGTGTACAATCAGAATGTTTTTTAACAAAATAATTTTGCAAATGACCAATGACAAGGTAAGTATATTTACGAGTTCCATTTTTATTGAAAAAGCAGCTGTCAATGATATCAAATAGCCTGGACTTTAATTTATCGTGGGGAATGGTTGTGTATAAAGTTGAAAAGTCGTAAGTTTTTAAGCTGTTGATTTTGGTAAAATCTTGTGATTTCAAATTTTCCAAAAGTTCCTTGGAATATTATTGGAAGATATATTGACAACTTTGATGTTGTTCGTGTTTATAAAAAAAACGAAGAAAGAAGAATATCTTTTATTATCTGTGTCTAGCTAGCAAATGGTAAATGAATAGTAATGATTTGCTTGCCACTGCTTTTAAGTTGTTTGATCTGATATTAATTATTTTTAGAAGTCTGTACGCCATTTCATTAGATTTGGTTTTCAGTTTTTTTTCTTTCCATTTTAATTATGTTGAGATCAATTTTAATTTTATATAGATTAACCCTTATTTTATTAAATTCATTGCCCTTAGACTTTCAAATACTACCCCCATTTAAGACTTATTTCCCTATCTCAAAATTAATCAAGACAAAGTATATCATTAAATGTGAATCATGAGGACGAAAGAACCACGAACAAAAGTGAACCAGTTTGAAGAATAACGAAGGATTGTGGCACTTAAATTAATGATAAAAGTTTTATTCAAATTTATTCTTGAAAATGGTATCAAATAAAAAAAAAATTGAGTGCACTGAACGAATGCTACATGTAGTTCATGTAGAGATCCTTCAAATAAATACATGTACTACATAGATCAACATTTAAGAAAACAACAAAAAGCATCAAATTGAAATTAAATTTTTGTTTAACTTCAATTCATTGTTATTTTCAGATTTTTTTTGACTTTTAAGCATTTCAAACTTTAGTATCATTGAGTACATGGTTTCAAAGTTAGGGAGCATGACCCATATGAAATTGAAATAACCAGAAGTTGAAAATTTGGTTTAATATTTTTTTTTGTTAAATTTCTTCCCAAAATCTGTAAAGAAAGGTATGGTAATGTCATAGTGGAGGGAATTTGTATTAAAATGTTAAGAATATTGCTTTTCAAAATGTTCATCTTAAGATCTTTCGGACCACATCGGATAAATTAAAATGCAAACTTTCCTTGGAGTGTAGATTCGAATCAATTAAACCATGTTCCAGAGATAAAAAAAAATGACGAGCAATCTAAAAGAACTTTATTTCAAGTCATATCTTTTTGCATCATTAACAATCTTATATGTATTTTCAGACTATTTTGTATTCTGGATTAAGTCCATACATACGTATTGTGGTGTCGGGAAAGAAGGAGACCAGAGTCCTTTGGTCCTTATTGTAGCTACTCACTGGGAGTACAAGATTGAAGAGTACAAGGTAAATAACTAAAAAAGGACAACCAGAGCCAGTTAGTTTGTTCAAATAAATACAAATCTCTGGTGATGCATATTTTCATTTCTTTAATTTGAAAAATGAAGAAAACGAAGTGATTGATCTCAAAAATCGAAAAATAGTACAAATATGTAAAGAGGTATAAAACACGGACTCCTGAAAATTCCATAGGTGGAATCACGGAGCGCATTGTATTTAAGTCATGTAAGTTGAAATTAATTTCTTTTAGAAATGATCGTATATGACAATGTTTCTTTTTTTTAGGATAAAGAGGCCTTTTTGGAAGAATTGCTGAAACACCTCCCTAGAAAATTGAACCCCTCACAATATATAAAGCAGGATAACTGTTATTGTATCCAGTTTAATGTTCCTCTTCATAACTTAGAAAGTCGTATTGCCAAAATTGTAAGTGATTCGCGATGGATAGAAAAAATTCCAAAAGAATGGGCAAGGTTTGGAAATGATCTTTACAAGACAAAAGATAAAAGAATTCTCAATACATCAGTAATCGAATTATATCATGCAGAAAATGATGGTATCCTTCAAAAGAGTCAAGATGATAAAACATTGAGGAAACAGGATATGCTTCGCTTTTTTCACGATGCCGGTAAAGTATTGTATTTTAATGAGACTGGACTAAGAGAATCCGTAATTATTGATGTCCAATGGTTTGTTGATGCATTCAAAAATATCATCACCGATAAGCTGCATTTAAAAGGTGTCGCTGGGTCTTTAGAGGATTGGAATGAATATTATGAAACTGGAAATTTAAAAGACCAACTTTTGGAGAATATCTGGAAAGATTCAAGAGGGAATGATATAGTTTATCATAAACAGATTTTACTCCATTTCATGGAAAGACTAGGTTTGATGGCTATTGGTGAAAAATCTCACTATGTTCCATGTATGAATCGAAAAGAAATGACAGAAGAAATTCAAAATAGAATCATACAGACAGAGAGCAAATCATCCGTTCTTGTGTTCCGATTTGAAGTTTTGCCTTTTTTCTTCTTTTTCCGTCTTGTTGTTGCATTTATGCAAGAAAATGGTTGGAATGTTCTAAAGAGCAGTAATGGAATATCATATCTCTACAAAAATGTCGCTTTATTCGCTTTAGAACAGTACAATATCATCATTTCTGTCACAGAAGATTCCATACAGCTTCAAGTTCTACACTCTCTATTAGGGAAATCGGTTGATGAGGAAAAAACACATGAGATCCAAAGTATCATCGAAGAAAAACTTACTGAGATTATAAAAACATTTCATCGGAAACTAGTTTTTGTTAAGGGGATAAGATGTTCGATAGACAACGAAAAACCATTTGCAATGGAAATTCAAGGACATTTCTTAGAACATAAAAATATACAATTTGAAAGTAAAGAAGAGCAAGCATGTCCTCTACATCGAATGGAAGGATTCCACAAAATAAACGTATCTGATTTGAAGAAATATTGGACATTTTAAAAACGTCTCAATATATGTTTGGCTTAAGCAAATAAGCGTATCTATAAGGAAATCAAAGCCATTATTGAGAATTGAAAAAAAGAAATGAAGAACTATATTTGTGAGAATATCATGCTTTTCCGTTAAAAGAAAATTTAAGAGAAAAAGAATTTTGCTAAAGTTCCGCGAATTTTGACGATAGATAGACAGGGTAACATCCACATGGGATGTTTTGACAAAGAATATATGAATGAAAGATTTCAAATTGTTATCAGTGCATTCATTTTTGAAAATCGGACGAAAATCTTTGCTTTCTGAATGCTTCTTGTACATCATGTAATGAATCATGAATTCACATTTACATGGCAATGCATAATTATGCTTATATTGAAATTCAAGAGTATTCAGTATATATATCGTCCCAATCTAAAGAAAAGAATTATAATAGTAACTTAACTTAAGTTCACTTTAGTGTACTTAGTTAACCATGCTTTACTAAATTAAGTATACATAGTCACAGTTAACAATAGTAAACCAAAGAGTCAAAATAATCGATCAATTAAATCAAAGATTATAAAGTTATCACTATCGTGTCATTGTAATCACTACAGCAAATCAAAGTTTTCAAATAATAAGCGATAGTAAATTGACGTGTAAAAGTTACCTAACTAACAATAAATCAGTTTTCCGTGTTGAAATCCTCATATATAAAAAAATCAGTATTTTCCAGTATTACAAGACTGTAAGCATGAGAATTTATCCGTCTTAATAAGGAGAATATGTTTCGCTGTTTTGTATGATATTTATTGCTCTTCTTGAGAATATTTCATTCCTATGGAGACACCATCAATTACTCGGCACTCAGGACCATTGAGCAGTGATGAATATGTTTTGTACTAGCATCTACTGCGACACGGAACCTCGGTTTATACGGTCTCAACCGAAGGACCGGTCTCCACGTCCCATAGTGGGATTCGAACAGGCAACGTAAGGATCAACTCCTCACTCTGCAACTCTAGAGCAAATACTCTAACCACTGTGCCACGCAGGCAATTACGAGAATAAGTACCAAGGATATTACACCCGAGATAATTTCCTGAATGAATGATATATTGCTAAAAAAAAAAAACTGCATTAAGACATTGATGGGAGATGTACTACATGTAAAGGGAAATGGTCCTCATCGCGTGTTAAGGGTAGATTAAACTCATGAGTAAACGTGTGATAAACAAATCATGTACTCAGCACTTGTCAAAGTTTGACAATCCATGACAATTCCTCCCCCACTACCACCCCGACAAGAATTCTTATGGTTCTTTTAAAAAGTGATTAAATGCACATAGGAAATCACTGAAAAATATATCTATACATATACCGTGAGCTTTATTAATTGAATGTTTGTTGTCTGTCCTTGTTGTTGTCATTGTTAACTTTCCACCATTCTTTGTTAAAGGGAATTTTTTTTTTCAAAACGCGACACTTGGAAGTTATAAGGTGTTCACAACGAGATATAAAAATTTTAAGGGGCTATGGAGAAAAAAAAAATTTAGTTATCTTTCGAGAAGAACGTCAGGTCTTTTCGTAAAGGGGTGCAGTTTTTATTTTCCAACAAAATTTCGAAACTGAGGGGAAAATTACCAATAATTCCGACGAGTATTCTCCTATGGCGAACTTTGAACTCTTAAAATGAGAAAGGGAGAAACCAGCTTTTTGTCAACAGAAATAGCATATGACGTCCAAATCAAGAGTGTGATGTTATCCGAATTTCGAATATAAAATTTCCCACCAATTTGCATCGCAATCAAAAGATATCTCGATCCTTCTCCTTATTAAAGTGCTTAAATTTCAGGGCAGCAGGGTCAAAATTTACTTATAGTATTTTGATGACATTTGTGATTTATTGTGAAGATTTTACATGTCATGATATTTGCACAAACCGTAGTAAAACACAAGTTTAATCCATTTTATTCATTAATGTTTACATTTGATTGATAAAGTTACCTAAAAATTTCAAAGATTTAAATGTAATACATTAATGTAAGAAATTCAAAACTATCTATATCAATTTCCTTAAAACACTTCTCAACATCAAAAATTCAAATACACCTTAATTTGATTTGTTAGCTATGTCAATTATGATCAAACTATTCTGACATCCAGTGTCCAATAAAGATAGAAAGAAAAAATCTCTCCAGCTTCGGCTCTTTAGAAATTACTCTTTTTAGGCAATTAGTATGACACGTCAAAATTTCTCGATTTCTCTTATTTACTTTATTTTCAGTCTAGTTAATCCGTTCTTTGTTATATAAGCTGTCCGCGTAAATACGTATAATTAAATATATTACTTTTGGCCTTCTGAACAAATGGTTTCGTACATCAAAGAAAACTCGGATAGGCTGATGTTTTCGTAACGTTCAGTTTGATTGGTGAAATCATGTAAGTCCGTAATCATACTGGACAAAAATTGATGTTAGCAGTTTATTTCTTTCAGCTTTTTGTGAATAAGCTTTAACTTTCAATTTTAATCTTTTATATCTTTTTTTTTATTTTTTTTCAAATCACATTCATGTAAAATGAATCATTTTTAGAATTATTTTATTTCCTTTCTCTTTCTTTCTCAAATAATATTAAGAAATTAATTAAATCAAAACTTATTATTTTGAATTTACATTTTTTTTCTTATGTTGTTTTATTTTGTTAAATCTGTTTTCAAAAATGCACTTTAATCTGACCGTTCTATTCCGTAATTGTTATTTGCAATTTGTTTTTATGATTCCTTTTCAGTTAAATGTTTTGTAATTCTGTCATTTTGAATATGCTGTTTCAAAACATTTGTGAAAAAATTTAAGAATAGTTAGTTTTTAAAATGAAAGTGAAAATGTCTGTGACACACAAAGAAAAATGAAATAAACATATTTGCTATATTTATTTTTATTTTCAACAATCACATAAACAAGATGTTAGTTTAGGTAAGAGTTAGTTTCTTTCTTTCGACTCAGATATTTTTGAATTCCTTTGAGAATATTAACAATGTTTTGAAATCGGAGAATTTCGGAGTGGTGAATATGAGATCAACATCTTGTTACATGTAGTATATTTATTCGTTTTTATGATTTTCTTTTAAAAAAATTGTCCTGCTTTGCATAGATAAACGTCATCTTTATATTTTATTCACGGACTTTTGATCTGTACCAGTCAGATCTACTGTGAAAGCGAGTTGCTCAATAACCACAGAGCTGATCCTCAAATTTTCACCATGTTAACACCACTTTGAAAAATGGACAGATTTGTGGGATTTGTTTTTGTTAAAATCAACCTAAATGATGTTAGTATTTTCCCGAGTACAACACACAACTGTATTACTAACTGCTGCTCTGTGACGATCTTCAACATCATCTTTTTGTCCTTTTCAATGATGACTAAATATCTTCCGAAATTGATGTCTTTTCAACCAAGCAAAGTATTAAGCCATAACATTTTTTTCACTTAACGTCATATAATACACAAATTAATGTCAATGATATGCATTATATATTTTTT